CAGGTAAGTCTCCAACCGCAAGGCTGGCCACACGCTACTTCCATCGGTTGGATGAGCAAAATTGAATGAATCTTCCACTAGACATGGAAATATACACTGCCGTGTGTGTGTGTGTGTGTGTGTGTGTGTGTAAGAGAGAGAGAGAGAGAGATGTGTGTGTGTGTGTGTGTGAGAGAGAGAGAGAGAAAAGAGAACAGGTAAGTCTCCAACCGCGCGGCCGACCTAATGGTACTTCCATTGATTTGATGAGCAAAATCGAATGAATCTACCGTTAGACCACGGAAATATACACTGCCACCCTTTTTTTTTTTTTTTTTTTTTTTTTGAAGAACCAAATCCCCCACCCGTAGTCCGCCATGCGCGCATAAGGATGGGTGGGTCGCGTTCAACAAATTTGCGCCACGTAGCGCGTAGCGCGTTTGAACGCGGGCCCCGGCCGTTTGAACGCGCGCATTCGAACGTGAACGCGCGTTCAGTGCGTTCAGATGGTCACAGAGGCCGTCTAGCATTGAATTCCAAAAATGTGTCCCCCTTCTGAACCTGAAGCCAAGGATGCTTTTGGCAAGCTGTCAGAACCAAAGAAAACTTGAGAAGCAAGAGAGGCAGTTTAAAAGGTGAAAACAGAAGCAAAGCCTGCCTTTTTTGACAGCCTGCATGTTCTGTAGCAGGAGGAATGTCAAGAAGGTTCCAGGTTCAGGGTTTAGGTTAAGAAGGTTCCAGGTTTAGGGGTTAGGGCTTAGAGAGGAACATGTTTCTGGCAATGAAACTGAAACACTGGGGACAGGAGGGTTTCTTAGCAAGTGTGACCACTGAGGAGAAAAGAAGTTGTGTGCACCCAAGCACAGACAGAGAGGATAGGGGAATTGATCGAGCAAGGGTTTGAAATGGACAACGTGAGTCGGGCAGGCTATGGTGTTCTCTACCCAGAACTGCAGCAGAGGAAGCTACAGCAGTGGAAACTGCAGCAGAGGTTCTCTGCACCCGAACCGCGGCAGAGGAAACTGAAGCTCTATTACGAGCAGTTGAGCAAGCAGGTGCAAGACGAGCACTTCACTGGAGCAAGGAAGAAAGTGGATGATGGATGGAGGGACCAGCGCAGCATGTGGGCACAGGCATATTGTTTTGGGCTGTGACTCTAAGAATGTCCCGAGAAGCTGGAAATTTCATATGAACTTTGACAATGTAGTGGTGGAGGTAGGGCAACGTATCAGTACGTGTAACCCCGATCGTGATTCCATGTTGCATGGCTGCCAAGGACATCAGCAAGGGATTCAGTAGGGTGGGTGTAAGCGGGATATGTTTCGTGTGTATTTTTCCAACCAAGCGGATTTGTGTCATACATTAACAGATCATGGTTTTGAGGATCATCCATTACGATCAGTTTTTTTGTGGGGTGCCGGCACCCCCCCCCCCCCGACCAGCTGACTGGTCGGCTGGTCGGCAGCCGATCAGTCAAGGGCCGCCAACCGTCGGGTATGCCACACTGATTAAAAGTTCAAAAGTACCAAATTATACAATGTTTTCTCCAGACAGACAATGGCGAAGTGCTGTCGAAGATGGCTGTCGATTAAAAGAGTTACGAAACAAATGAAGAAAAGGGCAGATTATCGCAGATAGCATGTTGCATACTGTAACGTGCAGACCAGAACAAGAACCGACCTTTCAATACAAAGTATAAGATAGCTCCGATACCAAACTGTTGCATACTGTAACGTGCAGACCAGAACAAGAACCGACCTTTCAATACAAAGTATAAGATAGCACAACGGAAGACTTAGATACCAGTGATCCGAACAATCAATGTTGTATTGCAGCCCTGAACATACATCATCATCATCGTTTCATAGTGTGAATGGGTCGGGCGCTTCACACAGGAAGATAGCGCCAGCCCAGAACATACACAGACGAAGAGGAAGGGGATGGGCGAAGAGGAGGGGGAAGATGGGAATGTCGTCAACACCAAGTCTTCGGCACAAGCCCAAATAGTCCCTCGTCGAAATGTCTGAATCCCAAATGTCAAGTCTGGATCCAATGTCGTCAAGTCTCAAGTCACAACTCTGTCTCTCTCTGTCGTAGTCTGAGAAGTCAGGTGGCGAGAGGGTGAGAAGAGAAGGTGGACTTAGAAGAGGAAGAAGAAGAACTCTCTCTCTCTCTGTGTCCAGTACTAACCTGTGAAGTTGGCGCCTTGATGCAGGTACCACGAAGATGGAGCTGGAGCGATGGCGCCACAGGTAAGTAACACTGGCCTCCGCCAGTCTCTCTCCCTCCTGTCTCTTATACACATCTAGATGTGTATAAGAGACAGCCTCCTATGTACTACGGGTGTGCCTCTTGAGCCTGCCGAAGGGAGGCAGGGGCTGCAGCTGCAGCTCCTGCTCGAGTACGTGAGGAACAGGCTATTTTGGGCCTGTTCCGCATCCCTGTTTCTGTGCCTGAGTCTTAGGGGCAGGTCGAAACAATGAGGGCCTGAAAATGGCCCTCCGTTTCAGGCTGAAAACTCTGGGTCTGAAAAGACCCAGAAATAGGCTGAAACGAGGTAGGGGCTGCAGGCCCTCGTTTTTCAGCATCCAGGCTGAAATGAACGGGGCCTGTAAGCCCTAAGTTTTAGGCTTTTAGGCTGAATGTCCGGGACGGGCCCTGCAGGGCCCGTGTGGCTACGCAGTATGCCACATAGCATGAGGTACACTGACACCATTGCTTTTGCCTTTTTTTCCTTTTGCAGTTCTTCGTTTTTTTTTCTTTTCATCCTTACATATATAAAATAAATTGATAACTTTTAATAAGTTGCCATGCACAAGGTTACAGAACATACGTCCTCGATTGTACGGAAGCTTCCTGAGGGGAGCACCATCGCCAATGTCCACATCGAAAACTGCAATGAGATGATTCCGACAATTGACATCAAAAATAACGTACCATATGTCAGTCAGTAAAATTACTAAATAGTAAATTACTAAAAATTACTAAACACTTGAACAATAATTATACGATCAACAGGTAGGGCTCAGTTGGTACACCCGTGAACTACTGAAATACAGACTCATGTTCGAATCCAGATGCAATCAGATGAACAGGATGAACAGAGCGAAATAATTCTGAATTACCTGCAGCCGGTCAGCTCAATGATGATGTCGCCAGGTCGTCGCCGTTTTTTTTTTTTTTTTTTTAAACAGTAACAAGTCGAGCTGCGCTGTGGGCAATTGCCGTGGCCAACCACCACATCGAAACACACCTGTGATTCATACCAGCTTGAGGCAAATGAAATTGAATAGCAATGCCCGAAACACGAGAGAAGGTCATGCCTTTTAAGTGCAGATGTGCACGCACACGTGTGGCCAATTTTTATTTTTTGTTTTACTTTTGGCCACTTGGTGCCAAAGCCATTCATCTTGACACCGCATCCCACAACAAAACTAAGAAAAACAGAAAGGGGAAATTAAAAAAAAAGAAAAAGAAAACAAAGATGATGCTAACATCATTGTATTCCGCACAGTTCAAGCTCCTCAGCTGTCAACAGATAGGAAACAAAACGGCACAAAAAGACAAAACAGAAAGAGAAAATGCACGGAAAGACCCGGAAAAAGAAACGCCCCTAATCACAATTCGTGGTTGCTTTTTTTTTTCGCGTTTCAGCCTTCAGGGTGTATCTTGCGACGTTATAACAGAAGCTACACTCTCCATTTGAAATTAATGTGTCTTTTGTGATAACGTGGCCTTGATGTTAGGGGCTATCCCATTTTGCTATGGAGCTCGAACCCTCACCAAATCAAATGGACACAACAACGTTAGGGGCTCTGCACTTTTTTTTTCCTTTCTTTTTTTAACTACCGTTACTACGCTATATTCTTCTCTCAAATTCAAATTCACATTTTGCTACCTACCTGCCGCTACTCCTGAGGCTATACAGGGCACCTCTGCGAGCATAGCTACTTCTCACGGAGAAGGGGATGTTGCATGTTGCCCCTTGCCCTAGTGATCTAGGGTGCAGGGTTGGGGCTGCTGGTGGGGGCCCGGCTAACACAAAGACACAGCATTTTGCCAGTAGCTGCACCTCCCTTTTCATCTTTCCCCACCCCCATCGAGTAACCGCAGTGCCTAAGGCCCATACTCTCCCCCACACCACACACAACACACTCACACTCACACTCACACCAATCTTGGCCGAAGACCATACTGATACCGACCAGGGCCTGACTACCTCAGCTGGCTAGCACCAAGCCTGCCCCAGGTGGTCATGGGGATTGAACCCACGACCTCCTGAATGCCACTTGCACGTCCCAAAAAAAGAAGAAAGAGAGGAAGACAAAAAAATATATATCCTATTATCCCACAAAATCCTGCAAAATTCCAACCAGCAAAAATGTAACGAGACATGAGGACAGACCAGATGCAATAATATGCACGTGCTATGCACTATATATCGTTGTGGATATAGTACAACACAATAGAATCGAACAGACGCATTCGACAGAATCAGAAACCTTTTTTCTCTTTTTTTTTCTTTTCTTTTTTTTGTAATACAACAAGATCAGACGGAACCCGAGATCATCCACGCCGCAACTGGAGGCATCTCCTTTCGATATCCTCACTAATAATGAACCAGGGCTGGTCCCCGGATGGACAGGGGACCCCTACCCCATCCGCGGTCCTCCCGGTTGGACCGGCCGGTGGCCCGGGCCGGTTCCCTCCCGGTCGCCCCCAGCGCATTTTTGCTGGGGCCCAGTGTTGCATCCCCCGACGGTCGGCCGCCCTTGACTGGTCGGCACCTACCAGTCGGGGGACATCGGCACCCCACACTTTTTTTTTTTTGCTTTTGGGATCCAGAACCCCTAATAACCCCACCCACACCCCCATAGCGGCCCCCAATCCCCGCATACACCAACCCAACACTCACGAACCGCCCCCAACACCCTTATTAAACCCCCCAATATCCCCTATATCACCCCTATACTCCCCCTATACTCCAACCCATACCTGCGGCGTATCACGTACGTGCGAGCTCCGCACGTGCGGCGCATAACGCACGTGTAAGCATGCACATGCACGTGATGCGACGCACCCCAATAAATAGGGTATAAACTTTTTTTTTGAGAAGGCTGGCTGAGGTAGCCAATGGTGCACCTCCCCACAGAAAAAAAAATTGGGCCCACGTATTCCTTGTTGAATAGTCTTTTTCCCGGAGGACCCCAGAAGTGCATATGCAAGGGTCCCAACATCTCAAGAGACGTTCAGCAAATTTCGTACGAAAGAGGAGCAGGCCAGCAATATATGTTCTGGATCCGAAGTCAGGTCTGCTTTCGAGCAGTTATGGGTTACAAGTTACAACTACTTACTACCGTAGCTCTCTCTTTCTTTTGTTTCTTTTTCCTACGAGCAGTGGCCCTAAGGGCCTTGCTCCACTCGTCACCAGCACAAAAGACAAAACATATGGC